TATAATTAGATAGATCAACTTAAAAAAATATTATTATTTATCCATTTACAACCGCTTATAACGTTAACATGAACCAACCTTTGATCTTAAGAAGTTTGGAATAGTTGGAAGCGGTTGCATCTTTTTGATTGTTATATGCTAACAATCACTATCATTTATAACAAATGCAGCGTTTACGGGTGGTGTGGTATCGGTAAAACCACTCAAACCCTTGGAATTTCTGCTATTCTGATTTTCGAAGTAAGATCTGGACATCCTACTATGGTCCGAACAACCTAGCGTGTAATTAGTGTTATTCTGATTTTCGAAGTAAGATCTAGACATCCTACTTAGGTCCGAACAACCATAGCGTGTAGTTTGTGTATACGACTATCTGTCCATGTCTATACATCTACCTAGGAAGAGCCGTGTGGCCCACGTGTCCATATATTTCATAGCGTAGATCTTATCAGTTTCTTTTTCTTGGTGTAAAATGTTAAGTTGCATACACTTTTCCTATTTTCTTTTTTGACAAACATTACAAAGCTACAATGTGATAAAGAAACTCATTAGTTGATCTATTGTTTGTCGTATATACTTAATTATAATATTATTAAATTAGATTTTGATCCGCGCTTAAGAATCGCATATATTTTATTTGTTGACGGTAAAGCCAAATATATCGGAATAGATACTTTAATGGATTTTGATGGTATTTTTGAATTTGATTGAATTGATGGTAAAAGGAATCCGAGATAGCTTGTATTTATAAAAGGAGAGGGTTGTTGTTAATTTAGGTTAAGAGAAGATACGAAAGAATATTTTGTAATCAATTTAGATTTCCCAAAATCATGGTAGAAAATATAAGTAGGTGCAGCTTAGATATTTTTGGTTGATATAATTAAGGTAAATTAAATAGTTGGCCGTAATAAATTAACTTGTAGATGAAGTGATTTAAATTTTGACTCACACTTCTCATATTTTTATTGACCGTAAAGTCAAATATATAATAAATTTATGTCTATTATTAGATATCTATAATATTTAAAATTTGTTCTATTATTTTATTTCAGTCTTGTAAAAATTAATATAACGTATATGGTAAAAACATCTTAAAATCAAAAGATTGTTATTAAACCATTGAGAAGCGTGGTTTCTAATTTTTGATTATGCACAAATGGGAACTTAATTTTGTAAAAAAAATTTAAAAAATTTAAACAAAGTTAAATTAATCCAAATTTCATAAATAATCGATCATATCATATATCTCTAGAATTTAAAAATAGAAATCGAACCGAGAACCAAATGGGTACTTAATTTTTTTATATATAAACTATATACCTACAAATATTAATTATATATAATATCTAAATACTAAATAACCTAAAATACTATTTTTAAACCAAATTAGACAAATCAATGAATTACCTGAATATTTTTCTTAAAAATATTCAACCTAACTGATATTTAAATCGTAGACTAGTTTACATTTAAATTAAATAAAAATGTATCAAGTAAAATAAATAAAAATATCTTATTTAAATCAATTTTGTGATCAATTTTGTTTGAATCTTCAACTTATAATGTTTAGACCTATTTAATTTTTATATATCATAAAATTAATTATTTAGTTCTTGTATAAGAATGTAATATCAAAATTTAATAATTGATTGCATATAATTAATTAAACCAATGTGTCATAGTTAAAATATCATGAATATTTATTGTTAGAGAAATTTTATAATAGATTATGGAAAGTAATAAATGATTTTATTTAAATTGTAAAGTATTTATATAGTTAGAGAAATATAAGGAAATACTAAAAAATGTTAGTCTAATGAAAGGGTCCAGACACTTTTTTTAAGTAGATTTATTTAGACTCCTTCTCTTTTACTAGTATACTAGATTTTGACACGCGCTTGAAAAGCGCGAAAATTTTTTATGATTAAAAATTTATATAATTGAGTTTTGTCTTAATTTAAAGAATATTTTTGTATAAAATTAGTTTACCAAAATGTGTGGTGATAGTTGTTTTTCATTAGTTTTTAGTTTCAGTTTTTATTTTTAGATTTTGTTTTAAATTTTGGTTTTTGATTTTTAGTTTTTAAGTTTCTATTTTTGTTTTCAGCTTTTGGTTTGGGTTTTTAATTTTTACACCCGCTGAGTTAGTTTGAACTGATATTACCAACAAAAAAATCTCATTTAATCGAACATGTAATTTAAAAGTGAAAAGATGACAAACTAATTTTCTAAAAATTTTGAAATAGTTTATTTTGTAAATAAAAAAGCAAAAAATATAACCTTTCAGCTTTTGGTTTTGGATTTTAGTTTTTAGATTTGGTTTTTGGTTTTGCTTTACATTTTTTTAAATCTGTAAATTATTTAAGATAAATAAAACAATAAATTATTTAAAAGTTACCATTAAAATTTATCAAGATAGAGTGATTGTTATTTAAAATAAAAAATATTAACATGTTTTAAAGTACATGATTTAAATAAGTGATTAATAATAGATAATTTTGTTTTGTTGAAAATATTAAATATTTTTGGGCTAAAAAATATTAACATGTTTTAAAGTACATGATTTAAATAAGTGATTGATAATAGATAATTTTGTTTTGTTGAAAATATTAAATATTTCTAGACCTGAAAATAGTAATTAATTTTTGATCCATTAAGGTCGAAAGTTTATTTAATGTTTTTGGAGTTTTTCTTTAATACTAAGCCCAAAAACCAAAAAATTAAATGTCATAAAAAACAAAAGTAAGCCCAAAACTCTATTCCATAAATAACCGTCGGTTTAATTTAAGTAATACGGTTCAATCAACTATATAACTTGTATTATTTGTAACACTCTAGAAAGAGTCCAAATTTAAATGACAACTTGTATAAGTAGATAAAAAGAATGACTCTATTTTAATATAATACTAGATCTCGACCCGCACAACCGTGCGGGTATTTTAATACGAAAATATTTGAAATTATATAATACTCACTCCATTTTAAATAGATGATGTTTTATAAGATTTATTTTATTTCAAAATATAAGATGTTTTGAGATTTTAAGGTATATTTTGAGGTTTTCAAGTTATCTTTAACTTTATTGGAAATTGTTCAACGGATAAAATTTTACTCTTTTTAATAATTTGTTGAATGATTATAAAATTATCTTTAAAAATACTTTTGTAAAAGAATGTAAATTTCTTAATTTTTGTGATATGATCCAAAACATCATATATTAAGTAATGGAGGGAGTAAAATTTTTCAATAAATAAATATAATTTGATTGTATATATTATCCAATTTTATAATAATATTTATGTAGCTTATAATATTATTAATTTAAAATTTATAAATTTGTATTTTTGTAACAATTTTTAAAAACATTATTATGTAACATTACTAATTTATATATTTTGTTTTATTTATAAATTTTAAATATATAAAAAATTAAATTAAATTGGACCTACATAATACATAAACAAAATTTTGGGATATTGTTAAAAGTATATTACATAATTTTATTTTTTTGTTAAAAATGAATTAAATAAAATATATTCTATGATAATTAAATTTTTCATCAAATAATTTTTGATACTATATCTTGAAAAGATTCTATAAGATTTTTTAAAGATTTTGTTAGACTTTTCTTAAAATTATTTATTTGTATTTCAAATAAAAATTAAAGATATTATAATGATGTTATGTTATATAAAATTTCTAAGGATGGTCCAAACTTAAAAATCACACATGAAGTGAATCATGACTTCTCTTTTAATATAATAGATAGATATATGCTCCGTCGAAATATTCTGGCTTAATTCATGAATAGTATTCTCACTCTCACCATCCCTTAAACCGCAAGTTAAAAAGAAAACAAATGTGCATGGGCACTGAGAAATTATATACGATCTACATACAATATTAGGAAAACTTTAAACTATATATCTCTCATACCAAACTTGAATCGGAAACTTGTTTTGAAAAAGAATCTCTTCTGAATATTTCCAACTAAGTTTTGAATTACTACCAAATAAACTATATTTACCCAATTGAGAGTCTGTGACTATATGACATACGTCTCGTGGCTTCCGTGTTGTTCCTATGAAACTGTGAATGCGAATGTGACGAGGGCCCTTTGTATTTTCGTCTTTCTCCACAACCTCGAGTTTGTCGGTGCATCTAAACTCCAAACCAACAACATTAAATAAATAAATGAATTCAAATCCTACATACATAAATAAAACGTATTTCAAACTGCATATATTATATTTAGAATTGGGGGTCTCAATTAATCCCTTAATAGTGCCAGCCAATACTAACTAGTAGGCTACCCTTGAATTCATTAACCTAACAAAAAAATACAACCATTATACATTTACGTGAATGACATGTTTATGGTACAGAAAAAAACTTTTTATGTATATTAAAAGAGCCAACAACGTACAAAAATGGTTGTCGGTTATTCTCAAATCCCACGAGTGTGCAACGAACATTGGTATAAGAAAGTCATAATAGTTTAAGGACACTACTAGATGCACGATCCACGAGTGGACCAATGCATGCTTAATAGAAAAGAAATGAAAGATATCTGTTTTTTCTTGTTCAATAAAATGAAGAGAATAAAAAAATTTATTGATGCATGTGAAGATCCCGATCACATTCTACTAATACCACTGATCTTCCCCATAATTACACTTGATGCCACTGTCACTGACCTAATCTTAGATAGAAAGTTAACTACCACGACACTAAACCTATAAGCATGTTCAGGAGAAAGTTTATCGTAAGCACAGCTTTTCTTGTTTAACTCAAAATTGTAGAATATTTATATTAGTGATAAAATACTCCTACGTAATACGTGTTTCCATTTGAACTAAGTTACCACTGTTTGACCTGACGAAGATGAAGTTATGACTTAGGTTTTAATTAGAAAATCTAGAGCCAGATTAATCATTGTTCTTGGAAAATGATTAATGATGATTTGATTCAAGAAACAACTTACATGTCTTTTACAACGTTCAGAAAGTTAAGCTCTTTGTAAAATACTGCGAAGTAGTAACAAAGTCTTGTGGTAAATTAGCTCTCTTCACAATCCTCTTCATGTTGCTCTGTAAACTCTGTTGCACTAACTGCTTCACTGCTCTCCTCTCATCAGTCATTCTTATCTCATGATTCCGCTCTCTACTCAATGAGGACGAAGAAGATGTTATTCCATAGAGTGGAGCCGAGACTTGCTTCCCTTTGTCCACCGCTCTCAAGGACTCTAGTATCCTCGAAGCCCGCCTTTGCACTAATGGGCTTCCCACAAGCGTTAGCTCAAGCAACGAAGACTCAATGCCCGCTTCGATCATCGCTCTCCGGTCTCCATATCCCTTGTGAGCCATCAACATGAGAATGTAAACCGCTTTCTCTTGACATTTCTCTGAATCATTCCAGTTCAACACATCGACCAGTATCGGAAACGCTTCGACCGCTTCTCCAACTGCTTTTCTTCCTTCTGCGACAGACACTACATTGGTTAAGATTGATAGAATCCTCTCGCTTACTCCCATGTCTCCCAATGTGTTCATGAGAAAAGGAACCAGATCGGTTTGGAGGATGAATGAAATGTTTTGGTTGTGGATTGAGAGGTTGTAAAGAGCTCGAAGAGCGTCTTCTCTCGCTTGCGAGCTACTAGTTTCCTCAAAGCTTTTCAGGGTCTTCACTAGGAAGATGATTGCGCCAGATGAACCAATGATCGGTTTATTGGAATCTAGTGCGCTTAAACCAAGAAAGTTCGCGACGATAGCTTCGGAGATTGCTTGATTAGGAGGCGTTGATGACTCAATCAGCTTAAGCATTTTATGAACAGCTCCTGCTTTAACTATGGCTTCTTTGTTCCTGAAAATTTTACAAGAATATTATTATTTAGTCCATTAGACTTATAAAATGGTCTAGCTAAGCTAAGATGCTAGAACTTTTCATTGTAGTTTGTTTTCTGTTGGTTGTTTTATTCAGGTCCGACGATCACCTCTAGTTTGAATATAATAGTCTTTCTATGTCAAAAAAATAAAACAATGGTTCCTACTTCCTACAGAACATGCAATGAAGAGACTTACATATCGTTGCCGATGCCAAGATTGAGAAGAGCATAGAGAGAAGCGATCTGAGCATGTTCGGTTGGTGAATCATCGTCGATCATACTAACCAGCGGAGGAATGACACCGAGCATCGCAAGCGTCACTCTCGCCTCGGTGTCATCCTTCGCTAACAACCTAACCTCACTCGCAGCTGCCACCTTCTTCTCTCCGTCCGTCTCTTCTGCTTGTAAATCCTTAACCACGCGTTTCATAATCTCCAGCGTTTCCTCCTTCTTCGTGTTCTCAGCTCCAGTTAAGTTTAACAGATCGCCTAGCTTCTCTGATTTCATCACTAGATCATCTCCTCCGAACGTTTCAGCTTTCGGACCACTAGTAGGTTTTGTGAAATGTGTTTTGGCTTCGTCTTCTCGGAGTTCACGGCGATAACGAGAGCTACCGCCGCAGCTAATAGCGTCTAAGATCATCCTGCGGAATGTCGATCTGGAGAAGGAGTTCACGGAGGTGGAGGAAGAAGAAGCGGAGGGAATGTGGTGAAGGATGAGAGGATCAACATTGTTCCGGTGACACTTGGCCATTATCGCCGGACAGCTATACAGAGCTTGAGAGAGAGAGAGAGAGAGAGAGAGAGAGAGAGAGAGAGAGAGAGAGAGACAAAAGGTTTGTTCTGTTTTTATTTGGAAGCGGAAACAGAGGAGAAAGTAAATATAAACTATAAAGATTATTTTCTGAGTTTTTCTTAATTATACTTCACCTAAGATCGTGTGAGCATTTAATAACTCTTTAATTTAATTACATGGTCTGATCTTTCTATAGTTTGTTTACATTTTCTAAGCCAGAGGTATCAATTATTTCAGCTTCGTCCTATTATTCGATTATATAAACTATTAGTATTATAATATTTTAACAATCCGTAGAGATTTGGTTTATGCGAATTATTTATTTTATTTTCCGTAATTACTCTAATCGTGTGAGCATTTAATAAATTCTACATTTTGTTAGGTCAATTTCATATAATTAGGAAGTGGAAGGACTGCCTCCCAAAGAAGGCCAAAACCAATTACAAACGTGATAAAACAAAACCCATCACATGCTCTTGCACAATGAAATTAGTACGAACATTATTACAACGAGGAACAAAGTTAACGGTAAAAGAAGAAAACAGAGTGTAGAAGAATCTAATCCCTAGCAGCTGCAAACTCGAATCAATCTACGATTGCTTCTCACTTTAGATTGTTATCTTGTTCTTTAGGTCATGACGAACGCAACCAGATCGCGACTCCGATTACACCGACTACTCCTAAAGAATAAGAGAAACGTAAAGGAAAAGCAAAGACACAAGGGAATTTTTAGAGTTCCCTGTCAACGTGACGAGGTACGTCTCCTTCAGGTCGGTGCCTGGTAATCCACTATATCAATTTTACAGAAGCTTTGATACAGGTCAACAATGGTGGAAAGGTCTCTCTCTCTCGTCTGCAACTTACGTCACAAAGAAGACGATGGTTGTTTGTTATAACAACCTCTCTATTATTCCCTACGGTAATCTCTACCATAAGCTTCGTGTACCACCTGTGTTGGGCCTTTCATTTAATCACTCGGCCCAACTAACCTCCTGCTTCTGAAAACCGGCCCATAAGTCAATTATCGGATCATCACTCTCNTCTCTCGTCTGCAACTTACGTCACAAAGAAGACGATGGTTGTTTGTTATAACAACCTCTCTATTATTCCCTACGGTAATCTCTACCATAAGCTTCGTGTACCACCTGTGTTGGGCCTTTCATTTAATCACTCGGCCCAACTAACCTCCTGCTTCTGAAAACCGGCCCATAAGTCAATTATCGGATCATCACTCTCGACAATCTCCACCTTGATATCCGATAAACCTCCGACTTAACTTCCGACACACCGCCGTTGGGCAACTTCCCTGAGAACACTTTAAATCCCTGAATGCTCTCCAAAAAAAAACTGTCACCGACCTGGATCTCCGATTCGTTTGTCCTCACTCCGAATCACTTCATCCTCATCTCCTCTGGCTTCCGAGATGAGCTCGATTAAGGTTGCCTTCTCAGTTCCAAAGACAACCCGAGCTCTGCAATTACTGCAAAGCTACAACCTTCAACTTTGCCAAACAACCAGTGAACTTCTCCCCTGGCAACGGTTTTGTCAACATATCAGCTGGATTCACCGAGGTATGAATCTTAACTAACTCCACTTCTCCATCTGCAATAACTTCCCTTATGAAATTATACTTCGTCCTTATGTGCTTTGTCTTCTCTCTATACACATAGTTCCTTGCAAGATATATCGCACTTTGCGAGTCACAGTGCATCTCCACAGACGCTTCACTAAACTTCAATTCTTCACAGATGCCCTTTAGCCACAATGCTTCCTTTGTAGAATCTGACAACGCCATGTACTCTGCTTCTGTTGTGGACAACGCCACGACTTTCTGCAAGCAAGACCTCCAGCTCACAGTGTTTCCACCAACTGTGAAAACGTAACCAGTAATCGACCGGCTATTATCCAAGTCTGATGCGTAATCCGAGTCACAGTATCCACGTATCTTGAAGTCACTCCCCCTGGTAAATGTTAAGTTGATCTCCAATGCTCCTTTAACATACTTCATTATCCATTTAACTGCTAGCCAATGTTCTGCACCAGGTTTACTCATAAATCTGCAGACAAGACCAACAGCATAAGCCAAGTCCGGCCTCGACCCAACCATCGCGTACATCAAGCTTCCAACAGCACTTGAATAAGGTACTTCCTCCATCTCTATCTCTTGCTGTCTCTGTTCTGCTTCAGTTAGGTTCCTTAGCTTAAACTGTGTTCCCATTGGTGTGCTTACTGCTCTGCAGTCCATCATCCCGAAGGTTTTCAAGACCTTTCTCAAATACTCACTCTGAGACAAGATCAATGTCCCCTTTGATCTGTCCCTAGTAATGTCCATCCCTAAAATCCTCCGTGCCGATCCTAGGTCCTTCATTTCAAACTCATTGCTTAACTGATCCTTGAGTCTCTGAATGGTCTTCATTTCTTTTGACGCAAGTAACATGTCGTCTACGTATAGGAGTAGGAACACCATTTCTTCTATTCTTGATCCTTTAAGATAGACACACGGATCATATTCACTTCTCTTGTACTCCTGTTTCACCATAAAGGTATGAAACCGGTGATTCCATTCACGTGGAGACTGCTTAAGGCCATATAGGGACCTTCTAAGTAGACACACCATCTTCTCTTTCCCTTTCTTTACGTACCCCTCCGGTTGTTCCATGTAGACTCTTTCCTTTAAGACCCCATGAAGGAATGCTGTCTTAACGTCTAGTTGTTCTAATTCCAAGTCAAAATGAGCAACCGCAGATAACAAAAGACGGATTGAAATGTGTTTTACCACAGGAGCAAACACTTCGTTATAGTCCACGCCTTCAATTTGTGCATAGCCTTTCGCAACAAGTCTCCCTTTATACCGTGGTGCTTCACCTCCTGGTACTCCTGGTTTGTACTTATAGAGCCATCTGCACCCGATGACTTTATGATTCTTCGGCCTTTCAACATAGTCCCATGTATGATTCTTCTCTAGTGATTCCATTTCCTCATCTGCTGCTCCACTCCAATGCTTCCTATCTTTGCTTCTCATGGCTTCCTGGTAGCATTTAGGCTCAAGAATCTCTATGTCTTCAGCACTAGCCAGTGCGTATGCAACGAAGTCAGCATCTTCAAACCTGGACGGTGGCTTTATAACTCTACGAACGCGGTCTCTAGCTAGAACATAATTCTCTAGGTTCATTGGTTCCTCATGTTCTGATTCAGACTCAGAATCACTTGCCTCTTCAGTAGCATCGTTCTTCTCTGTTCCTTCTGTGTCTGAAGTTTGAGTATCCAACAATGCTCCACCTGAATCTGAACTCTCTCCTTCACAAACATCTTCAAGGACACTTCTAAATGATACCTTTTTCACGTTCTGTGTGGTTGTTGGTTTCTCTTTTGACCTTTCTTGCTCTGTGTCTAAGTCCTTGAATAATTTCTCTTCGTTAAAGACCACATCCTTGCTTATCACCACTTTTCGATCTTCTATAAGCCATATCCTGTACCCTTTAGACTCTTCTGCATAGCCGAGGAAGATACCTTTTGCCGCTCTTGGACTTGTCTTCTCACGAACTTGGTGAACATAAGCAATACAGCCGAAACTCTTCATGTGGCTGTAGTCTGGCTTGTGACCTGACCACCTCTCCTCTGGGATCTCAAACTTTATTGAAGAACATGGGGATCTGTTGATGATGTACACAGCTGTTGACGCGGCTTCTGCCCAATAACTTTCATCTAACCCTGTTTCACTAAGCATCGCTCTGACTTTATCCATTATGGACCTGTTCACTCTTTCAGATATACCGTTTTGCTGAGGCGTATAAGGACATGTCTTGTGTCTTCTTATTCCTGAGTCTTTACACAGCTGATCGAATCTCTGGTTGCAAAACTCCAGGCCATTATCAGTCTTGATGCTCTTAATCTTCTTGCCCATCTGGTTTTCCACGAGTGCCTTCCATTCTGCAAAAAATTTAAACACTTCAGATTTCTGTTTTAAGAAATAAATCCAAAGTTTTCAAGTATAGTCATCAGTGAAAGTCAAGAAGTATTGAGCCCCTGATAAGCTGGGAACAGTGTTTGGCGACCCCCAAAGGTCAGAGTGAATGTAGTCAAGTATCGCCTTTGTTGTGTGTTTTGCCTTTGGAAATTTCTGCTTGTGAGATTTTCCCAACACACACCCTTCGCAGAAACTGAGTTCTTTAATTTCTTCCTTCTTGATGTATCCTTTTCTAGCTAACGTTTCCATCGATCTGATGTTTATATGAGCTAGTCTTGTATGCCATCTCTTGGTATGGTTTATGCTTGCTGTCATTGTATTAGCCCCTGGTCTTCTGACAGTCCCTTGGAGGTAATAGAGACCGTTATCGTATTTCCCTACCAATACTTGTCTCCCTCCTTTTGTAAACACCACCTTGTAATCTTTTCCTGCATACGTGCATCCTGATTGCTCTAGTTGACCATAGGAAATGAGATTCCTTCCCATCTCTGGAATGTAACGAACATTGCTTAACGTGACTGTCGTCCCATCCTTGTTGTCTATGGTAATGTTGCCAATGCCTCGTACCACACAGTGTGTGTTATTTCCCATCAAAACCTTGTTGCCTTCAAACTCTTTTAGCTCAGATAAGAGATCTTTCCTTGGAGTGATGTGAAACGTGCATCCTGAATCCAATACCCACTCTTCTTCAGAAACCACCAAACTTGCTGTCAAAGCTATTGGTCCTGGTAATTTTGCTGCAACGTTTGCTGCATTGTTGGGTTTGGTGAAGGCTGTTGATTTCCTTCTGTCAGGGCAATCTCTCTTCCAGTGCTCCTCACTCCCACAAATCCAACAGGCTTTCTCTGGTTTAGAGTTCACTTTTCCTCTGGACTTAGATCTAAACCTGCCCTTGGGTTTACCATTCCAATGCCTCGAACTCCCTGACTCGTTCCTATTCGTGGACCTTCCTCTAGACTCACTGTAGAGCCCTTCTGACTGTGGTTTGCCT